CAACAAATCTCATTTTTCACATTCCAGCATGCCCACAATCTACCTACTCATGCCCATGGATCTAATTTCAGCCAAAATTACTAAGGATGCTAACTATGAAAAAAAGCATTCGAACTGGAGTTTGTATCAGAAAACTAACCGGTTCTTTTACTTCCACTGTAGATGATGATCGTTGATTGCGACGGTCGGTTTTCTCCGGTGGTCGGTCGGTCGGTTTTCTCCACTGGTCGGTCGGTTCGGTCGGTAAGAGAATTATCAAACAGTCTGAAGGGTAAAATGGGAAAATACTGTAAAGTTTTCTTTTTAACTTAATTTGTTTTTTTTTTAATTCATTTAATTGGTCAAAGGCCAATGTCAATTTTTGCTACAGTGTAAGGGTCATTTTTGGGTATTTCCTCGGTTCTTTTTCAATTTACCGTGAGATTGTCGACACCTTGATTGTCTTGGCTGCTAAATTTGCGAAAACGCCAGCTTACACCATTCTCGAAGCTCATACCATAAGCACGTACTCACCCCTTCGAATTTCTCCTTTCTTCCAAATATGTAATTGACACTCCAGTTTAGTTAAATCCCGTTTTTCTCAGCTGGGATTTTTTTTCATGGCAAGATTATTTTTCATTTTTGGAATAATTTTCTTATTTATTTTTTGCTATACGCCTGTTCGATCAAATGATCAAGAAGGGCACATTACGGTAGACATATCGAATAAGGGTCTTGATTTTCTCAAGGATTTGTTAATAGAAAAGGCAGAGTCGTCGTTGCTTCCACTTTACTTGCCCAAGATTGAGAATGCCGTGACAATCCCAATCATGGGTAAAGTTCATATGGTTCTTTCGAATATTACTGTGGATAGGATTGATGTGATTTCTTCGAATGTGAGAACTAGTGATAATGGTATACATATAGCTGTTTCTGGGGCCACCGCGAATTTGAGTATGAATTGGAAGTATTCATACAGCACTTCGTTGGTTCCTATTGCTGTTTCGGATCAAGGAAGTGCCACGATTGGGGTATGCAGTTATAATGCATGTATATTTGTGTAGTTTTGAATGCTATACATGGAATCTCACTGTAAAAATCTAACAAGTTATCATTTCTTCTGAATATTATATGGAGTGAACTTCAATTTAATAGTAAGGTAACTTCAAAAAGCTAAAAAATTTGTGCGTAGTAGATGCCAAAATGTAATTCCAGTAAGACTGGAATTTCTGTGAAGAGTCCATCTAGGGTGGATGATTATTGTTGTGAAGCGAGAGAAAGGAACAAATTCAACGATTGCAAGTGGAACACCAGGAATACTGATAAGATGAAATACTGAAAACATGATATTCAGATGAATGTGTAGCCATACTAGAATAGAAGCAATAATAAATGAGAATAACATGCCAATAAATAAAGGTTCATCAACTGGGGATAAATGAATAGATAGGCGACTTAGGCAGCGAGGACATATTTTGCGAAGACTTAAAAAAATCTTCTGTGCCCAAGAGTGATGTGGTCCTAGTAGAATAGGTTAGAATAGGGAGAGATACATCAAAATTAATATGGCATGTTATGGTTATTAATGGTGTATTGGATTTGGCAATAGGCGTGGGCACATGGTAATGAATCGAAAGGAGTGGAGAAAAAGGATTCACATAGCTTATTCCTAATTTATTTGGAATAAAGATTAGTTTGCTGTTATTGTATGCATAAATATGTTTAGTGCACATGCATTTGTATGTTTGTGTATCAGGATTTGGAGGATTTCGGTGTGAGGGAAGAAAGAGAACTAGTAGCAGTATTTATGATTAAGTTTCTGAAAACCTGTAACAACCTGACAATGGCCAATCAGATTAATGGTCAGGCTGAAGCACATTGGCTATTTCAGTAATTAAAGTAGGCATATTTACTAAGATGTAGGTTTATTTCCAATAGTATGTTGCAGTGAAATCTTTAACTCAAATTTTGTATTACAGATCAGAAATTTCTTTTTGCATTTCCACCAATTAGCATTGCAATAAAATTAATGACGTTTACTTCCTTACCTCATACTTTTACAAAACTTCCAGAGTTGTTGAAGTACTTCAAAATGATGTATATGCTCTGTTTTTGTGAAGCTTGAGAATTCTTCAGACATTTGTCAGCATATCACTTCTGCTTCAAGTGCATGTTTCAATGTTACATGTTCTATCTTTCATTTAAAGTTTAGATTTTTGCAGCTCCCAAGAGTGATCCTTGTTAGAAACTTTTATGTGAGTTAAGTCCTTGAATTATCAGTCTGAAGATGTATTTTGCTTCTTCTAAGGTTGAAAGTATGGAAATTGGGCTTATCCTCAGTCTGAAGAATCTACAAGGATCTTTTAAGCTGTCTGTTCTGGAATGTGGATGTAATGTGAAAGATATATTGATAAAGTTGGATGGTGGAGCATCCTGGCTATATCGAGGGTACGTTTTTCATGTTTCCGAACCATGGAAATATTCCTTGATTTTGTTGTTTGTATTGTCGGAAATTGGGCTAATGAATAAGAATATCAAAGTAGAGATTCTTTGGACCTGAAAGGAAACCTTTTCCTTTACAACTTCTGTGATACAAATTACACCCAGCTGTCTGTAGTATTGTAGATTATATTTTTATTAGACGTTTAAAATTTTGATGAGGAATATAATGTTATTTATATGTTATTAGTGTCATGCCTGGACCTAGTTCCTTATATATCTGTTTCACTCGTAGCTAAATATGCTGATTCTTGGTGTCAGATGGAAATTGAAATTATCCAATATGGACATTTTATTTAGTCCATTACCTTATCTGTGTTCATGCAAGCCCTAGATTAACATCAAGAAATTTCATCCTAATATGAAATGCAAACTCATCTTAAAGGCACTTTAAAACTATTTTATTTCATGATGAAAAATTTATCTGAGAAACATGTTAGCTGTTGAGTCTACAAACTTTTTTGTTAGATTTCTCTCCTTCATATTTGTTTACGGCTAGTTATATAATTTTCCTTTATTTACTTTCCATGACCATTCGTATTCCTTTTGTGATTCCCCTTCATTTTCCAGGTTGGTGAATGCCTTTGAGGGTACAATTATTTCTGCAGTTGAAAATGCTGTTTCCAAGAAAATAAATGATAAAATCATAAAGCTTGATTCTGTATTGCAGTCTCTTCCTAAAGAAGTTCCGATAACTAGTATTGCTGCCTTGAATATTACATTTCTTGATGACCCGAAGTTGAGTGAATCATCACTTGACCTTGAAATAGATGGGTTATTATCTGCCAAGGATGAAACTCTAGTTTCCAACCACTATAATAAAACTTTACAACCTTCATTCTCCTGCAAGGAAGTGGATAAGATGGTCGGGGTCTCATTGCATGAAGATGTTCTTAAATCAGCATCAACTGTCTACTTTGAAGTAATTTTTTATTTTCTTTACTTTAACGAGTCAGCTAGAGAATTGAAATTTGGACCACTTTTTGTATGGATAACATAAACATATAAAATATGGAAGTAGAGCAAATTATTTAAAATGTTAGGCTGTCTTTACACAAGACAGACTGGTAGATTCTAGAAATGCTTAGAAAAAATACTGAGGAGGAAAGGGGGTTCACTCTTTCAGCTTCTTTTACTACAGGGTGAAGATTAGAAGACATGCTTGATCTTCTCTAACTTTGTACACACTTCAAGCAGGTCACATATCCTAGTAAGTTGGGTCAGTTTATAGGGGTGCTTCGGAACAATGAACCAGAGTAGAGGCTGATACCTTCTATCTTTCTCCACACACAAATGTCATGATTTGTCACCTGAAGGACTTTGTAGAGATCGAAGCTACCTGATCCATAGTGTCTAGCATTTCTTTGCTGGATCACATAAAAGAATTTGTCAACATCAGGATAGCCATTAATCGCAAGATAATAAAAGTCCGTTCTTCTTTCAGGCAAAGAAGATGAATTGGATCGTTGAATATGCATCAGATCGGTATCTCTTGAACACATCAGTTTGGAGGTTCATTGTTCTGCAGTTGTACAAGCTCTATCCAGATGATGACATTAACCTGAATATTTCTGTTTCTTCGCTGCCAACTATAAAATTTGGAAAGCAGCAGATTGATGCAACAATTCCTTTGGATATGGTGATTGATGTTTCAGATGCAGGTGAAATAATACCAGTTGCAGGCATTTCAATGGTACGTTTAGTGAAATGTCTGTGGTGACTAAGCTATCAGGGTTTTCTCTCTCTCTTTTCCCATGCATGGAGGGCCAAAAGTGTTAAATTCATTGATTTAACTTGAATCGGTAACCTTTTGTATTTGGCACGCATTATATTGGTTGATTTAAGGTGAAGGGGAATTTTCACTTAACCTAGTTTGTCAGTTAATATTTTTTGCTTTGTCATTCTATAGCGCTTATCATGTCAAATCTTAATATATGCCGACAGGGTAAAAGTGATGAATTTTGTTTTGCTGTAGGTCATTAGTGCTTCAATATTTGCTGAAATTTTGGGGAACACTGTGATCGGTAGTGTAAAATTAAATGACTTTAGTATGTCTCTTGATTGGAGCAAAATTGGTGATTTGCACATTCGTCAAGTTCAGGTATACTTGGTTCATTATTTGATTCCTTGATTTCAGTGGGTAAATTTTATCCATCATATGATGTTTCTAGGACCTAGCATCGCACTTTACCCACATAATTCGAAGGATTGAGATGCTTACATTCTTACTGCCATGTGTTACGCATGCCGCCATCATTTATCCTACCCAATCGTGAAAGGATGTTATCCAAACGGGTTTCAAGTAATTGTTTCTTACGTTTTTACTGCCTCATTTGGTAGAATCCTTTCTCTGGTTACTGTAGTGCAGAGGAAAAGATTGGTTAAATTGGTAAAATGGTCTAACAAATATGACACTTCACAACAGACTCATACCAATGATGTATTGGAATATATAATTGCTGTGGATAATCTCGTAGATAGCACAGATACTGAAATTCCTAAGTTCTATGTAGAAAAATAAATTTCTGTAAAAAGAAAAGGCGGGGTTATCTGCACCTCCACCCCCTAAAAGTTATTCTTGCATATGGTAGCTTTACTCTTGACTTGTTTCTGCTTATTGTCATCTATTCATTGAGATATTAGTCAGGAAAAAAAAATAAAATGGAAATCATGATGAGGCAACACGTTAAAGATATTTCGAGGCTTTTTACTCTATCTTGTGCTTGAACAAGTCAGAATGTGTACTTACAGCGAACCAAAATTTATTGGGAACAAGACTTGGTTTCTTCTTGTACTCTATGTTTTCTTGTTTCTCTTCCTTCCTTCATTTTTTTTTTTTTTTCTTTTTAAATAATCAGATTAGAGGCCTCAGTTCCTTTCTTGTGTTGTTTTAATGATTTGCAGTTAGTGATATCCACTGTGCTGAAGACTGTAATCTTGCCATACGTGAATGGACAACTCAGCAAAGGACATTCGTTGCCTGTGTTTCATGGTTACAAGCTTCAGGATACTCAAATCGTTTGTGTAGATTCCTGGATTGTGTTCTGCAGTGATGTGGTCTCCGCCAAAAAATTCAGTCTCGCCTAGTCCCTGCATCTTGGAAGGGCAGTTTGGTCCAAGAAACTATCACAGTGCTAGACACGAGGAATTAAGATCAAATGAACTTCGGAGGCTTGTTTGCGACTTTCTTGTTGCCCCAGTTGTAGCCAAGTACAATGTGTAGTCATGGATACAATATGCACAATTGCAGCGTACGTCTACGTTCGATAAACTCTCGCAAAATGTAGCATATCACAAAAGAGATTGAGTTTGTTGTTTATGGTAATTCAAACTAAGGAAGCAATAAAAAGTTGTTTGATCAAATTATGGGATGAATGTATCGGATTTTTGAATCCCTCTATTAACCCCTGTTTGGCCCCTATTTTTCAAATTAAAATGGACGGAATAATATTTTTTTGAAAAATGAATGGTTGAGAAAGAAAGAAATTTTTTGGTTTACATGTAATATTATTTTATGGAAGATTGTGTAATTGAAAATAGGAGAGAGAAAAATAAAATTTAATTTAATGGGAGCCAAACAGGAGCTTAATGTTATTTCTAATTCTTGATGCATATAAAGTTTTATATTTCTATTTTCTACTGTTGATGACAATCGATAATTTAGTTTTATTAATATTCTTTTTCAACATATATTAAATCCATGTTTAACACGATTTGATCATATTTCTAGTTTGAATTCATACGAAAAACATGCATTTAATAATAGGATTATTTCACGTGATTGCACACTTCATACATATTATTCCTAATATCTATAGTCCATGTGTTAAATATGCAGTATTTTATCTATTGTGAGCCTCTCAGCACTATGAATATATAACAAGTTATCTAAATGATGATCAAACATTCAAACAACACAATGTAGATACATAAATAATCAAGAAACTCAAAAAATTATTAAATTAACAAGCTTGAATTAAAAACAATAACTAATAAGGTTCATCATCCACCCAATACAATGAAAAACTTAGCTTAACATTCATATAATTAAATTACACAAGAATAATTGGAAAAAAATCACCCGAAAATAGGAAAGATGAAAGAAGAGAAATTCATGTTCTTGGCTCGAATCTTGAAATCGGGCTATGAATCTTCATAATCATTGTATGATTCGCCTTGAATTGATGTATCTACTTGTTCTTCACTTCCAAAATATATAGAATATGATGAAATTTAGCTCGAATGGAGGTTCCCTACATTCTGATCTAGTTTTGGTATGTAAAGGATGTCAAAAAGTTTGCATTTTATTGTTACTAAAACAAAAATAAGGAAAATTGAATTTTTTTCCCTTTTTGTACTGAGGCACGTGCCTAGGGATAACTAGGGCGAGCGCCTAGCTAGTTACCCCTTTTTTGTTGAGACGCGAGCCACTCCTGTAGGTGTGGGCAGGCGCCTTACCTAATTTCAACTGCCTTACAATTTTTAATATTTTTGTCATAACTCTTTCTCTCGATATCTAATTGAGGCAATTCAAAGTGCGTTGGAAAGCTAACTCAAATAGCTAATTCTTCTAGAATTATCATGTTTCTAACTCGAATGTTTGATATACCAAAAATGGGTCTCAATCTAAAACTGAAAATCTGAAACATAACTTTTTCGGTTGAAAATTAATATGTGATAATACTTTGATTATATTTCACTCTCTTGACTTTTTTTCTCATCCAATAAACCTGTAGCACGTCTCAAATCTTTATCTTGAGGCCAGACACAACTTTTGAGTATTTATATTTTAGTCCTTAAACTTTAGATCTATTACAATTGAGGCATTTTCACCTTTTTTTTTTTTTTTTTTCAATTTCACCGTTCTTCTCTATTTTTAGCTTGTTTTCCCTAATTATTCATCAAATCAAGAATTTTACCTATTAAACACAATACATAACAAATTATGTAATATTTCAATCAAAGAACTATAAAATATCATTATTTAAGTTCCCGAATAAGTGTACAAAATACACTTATCACCAATGTAGCATACCACAAGGTTGGATTCGTTCAGGAACTTTAGATGATCAGCAATTTGTCTTTCTCCATGGCTTTGTCTAGAAGTGGAGTTATTTTGAAAAATATATGATTGATATGAACAAGATAATTTGGAATTTAAGACTAAAGCAAATATGAGTGAAACCTCTCCATGTTTTTATATTGGGAGTGTAGGGGTGTTAAATGAGTCGAGCAAACCCGTTTAGCTTGTTCCACGAGCTCGCCCCTTGCCTCTTCACTGAAGTGCGTCTCGGCTCGTCCCACCAAGGGGATAAGTTCGCGTAACCAAAATATCTAATGAAGCAAGCCCATGTGCATTAATAATTTTGACACGAGAAAAAAATTACTTTTTAAATCGAATTTAGTGAGAGGATGGACCAGTTTATAACTCATGCTGCTGCATGCCCTTTGGACATGTGGAACTATCACATTTAATAGTGTAACATGGAAAAATAAAGAATAATTAATGATAATATCCATGGCATTGGCATCTCGATGAAATCAAATGATTTCCCTTTTGAATATTGCAATAAACCCAAAATCCATGCATTTCTACTATTTCCAATATCTTTAAACTTAAGTTGTTGTAGGCTATAGCATTAATAGATATATTCATAGGCACAAGTTTTACTTTTTGCATTTCATGAAGACTTTGCCTCTCTTTGTTCAAACATTAATTTAGTTGAATTATTACACTGTCGGCTGCTGAATTGAAATGAGAGGGAGATTGTAAGGGGAACACTATAATTCTAATTTTATATAGTAATTGAGAGAATTGGGATATCATGCCACATCTTGTTTGTCTACAATTCTTGAAAATCAAATTAAAGATTTGACTGAAAATCCCAGTATAGGCTTTGCTAGTACAAGGCCATTCGTCATGACCCTATAGTAACAATAAAGAATTGCGATAAACTATTTGTACGAGTATGATGTATTTATTGAAGTTCATCGAGATCCCGAGGCCTTGAAGTGATAGCTAGCCCAATCAAAGCTAACAAAAGTACTTATTCTTCAACATTAAGCTATGTATTGCATATAAAAGCATATGATGTATTATCTTTATAAAAAACAACACATAACATGCAGAAAAAGATAGAGTCTATAAAACCTATACAAGGTTTCTTCTAATTTCCAGTTCTTGGACATTGGAGTTAGTTCATTGTATTTGATTTGTGACAAGGTAATTTGTCCTACCTCTGATTTTGCCTGATAAATCCAAAACCAGAAGTGTATATTTTTCAGCAATAAGAGGAAGCGTGTTCCTTGGATTAGCAGCATAGAATAGGACATGCTTTGAATAAGTTGTCTGTTGAAATTAAGATTTCAATTGTTCAAATATCAAAGATTGATTCCAGTAAATCATCCCATAGATAAAACTTGTACTTAATTTGTTAAGCCAATTTACAAATATAGTCACTAACAAAAATGATAAATAGGGACACAATCATTCTTTTACCATTCATAGCTTCCACAATGAGAAAGGGAGTATATTGTCCTTATGCATAATTGCAAAAAATTATAAGGGCTTTCTTTTTTATCCGTATGGTTTATCAACACTGCATATGACAATATATAAGATTTATCCATACTCCTGTTACTTTTTAAGTGCTTGATTGATAAAGCTTTACTTAGTATTTTATAAATTTTAAATGGACAAACTTCAATTTTAACTGTATATTTCAAGAGAACCACGACTTAAATTATGCCACCATCTGGTTCAACTAAAAAAGGTGATTAAAATCTAAATTAAAGTTTAAAAAAATATTTACTAAAATTATGATTTTTATCAAAACTAAACATGGGCATATTTCATCAACTTTTATCAAATCTTGTTAAAACTTTTATCAAAAATTATGTCAAACCACCCCAAAACCTGCAATTAGCAAGAAAGCAAAGACAAAAAGTGCAAAAGATTGGTTGAATTATTTCTTCACAAGCATATATATACACAGTCTTTTTGACCATCCCATAAATTCTTTTTGTGAATAGGGTTTTCAGGAACTTTCAACCCTCAGTGGGACAAACCAACAAAAGCTGAAAAAAAACCGTCCATTTAACATAGAATTATTGGCTAGGTTTAATTTTTTTTTAATCATCATGTACCCTAACGGAAGAAAAGTTGCAGATATATGTATTTTATATATATGTGCATGCAAGGTTTAGCCGTTTAGGTGTTGACACGAAAGTTAAATTAATATTTAATAGGGTAGTTGAAGGTTAATAAAAGATAAAAGAGTAGATAGGGGTTAAACTTCCGGCATAAATTCACGTGAAACCGCGACTATCACGGCGGCGGCGGTGGACTTTTTAATACTTAATTTGATACAAAAGCAGTAAGGGGAAGTTTATAGTATTAGTGTTGGACAAAATTTCGGGTCTTAATTTGAAAACTACACAATTTTAACATGCCAAACTATTATCTCCTATTCTCCTTTTTTAGTTGACTGACTTCTTTTCTCATTTCTCCCTCGGTCTCTCTGCCGGTGCAAAAGAAAAGGTAAAGAGTTAAAGGGTTAAAGTACATTTAGGGTAGAATTCTAATTTGGTCGGAGATTAAAAACAAGAACATGGAAAAATGTTGTGCATCTCTAACTATTTAAATTTCTAAACGAGATTGTTAGTTCTTCCACACGTTGTATTAGCCAGAAAAGTTGCTTTAAGATAAACAAATGACGACCTACATTTATTTTTTTAATCAGACACTCAAAATTATTTCTACAACCTATTTCCTAGAATTATGTTACTCGTACATTATTTATGTATAACTTGGATGACATTTAAACGTGTGGCAAAATAGAGATTATTGATTGTTTTAAGTGTTGGAGAAATTAATGGTAAAATTGTGTGTCACATGGTACAATGTAAAGTAGAATGTCAGCTAGAATGTATGTATAGCAAGACTAATTTACCTAACCTTGTTTAAATTATTAACTATTTCAATAGTATTTAGGTTTGAATATGAATGTCCAAATATGGTTTGTTTTGTAAATTAATGTACAGTGTCAAAAGTGTATGGATAATTTAAGAAAAGGAACAAAGTAATACTTATGAAACGTTATGCCATCTAATCCAATGACTAACTGCTATGAAAAAGTGATTTTGGTAGTTGGCTAAACAATATATAAAATTATGAATATAATATGTTATCATCTAGACGATATTTGGTGCACCGGATTAGGTCGTATTTGTATAAAATTATAATGAACAGTACTAGGTAGATAAATTATTTTCGAATAAGTTGGATATTATCTTTTATTTTCATTCAAAAGAAAATAATTTGCTTTATCAACTGTACACCATAATACGGAGTTTGAAGGTGCATTTAGGCTAGATAAAAAAATAGTAATAAATAAATAAATAGATGGTGACATTCTTTTAAACGAAAATTCCATAATATCATCAACCTAGTAATATTAATTTTAACAAAGTTTTTGATTCGGTCTAATCTTGTACACTAAATGTGACCGTATAGTCTAGATAATGATCATCGATATGTGGCATAAGGTCATTGTCTTGTTCAATAGAGTTTGAACGTATTTTTATTCGTCTTCATATATTGAAAGATGTAATAGTAAGCCTACCAAACAATCATTTAGACTCTAGATGAATAACATTATTTATGAATTCCGGTGGCACGGCCAAGCAAGATCAGCAGCTTCCAAAGACTAGGGTGGTCGTGCACATTAATAAATTATGGCTTCTCCGTCGTGACAATACCCTGGTTAGATTTTCACTTTGCAATTATAGAAGATAAATTTACTTCTATATTACTTATTTCACTAAACGCGATTGCTGAAACTGTTTTTTCTTTTTTTCTTTTTTTTTTTTTTTGAATATTTTTTCCTTGTCGTATAAATGTTTGGTATTACAAGAGAAGAAAGAACAAGTCTTACAAATTATATAAAAATAGAAACCTATAAAATTATAAGAATTAGGTAAATTAAACCTTGATTTCTGGGATGACAGTTGAGTGGAATAATCAAATATAATCACCATCATTAGCTTTTAATGGATTATTCAATTTAAAGGACCTAATCAGTTATCACCCACTTTTCATGTAATCCAAGTTTGAATAAGTAATTAAATAAAAGTTAATTATGTCAAACTAATTGCTTGATATCAACAAAACAATATGTTTTTAAGCATAATATACATAAAAGAATTAATTAATTATAAGATGTCCAGTCGTAATTAGATTATATATTTGTTCTTGTCGTCCTGAAAAGCGTATTATTAACATGTATAATAAGCAATTAATGATTCGTGTTGTCATTAAACAAGATTAAGGAAACACTTAATTATAATCATTATTCTATACGAATAATACAATGTCGTATGCCGTTGGTACTTTGAAGTCCAGCTACTTGACATCGACGGTTGGGCTAAAGCCGACTTGGTCCCATGCATAAACAGGTTTTATCATTATCTACCAAAACTCTATACTTATTTTGTCCCATATTTTTGGTTCGTTAAATTAGGTGGAAAAAAATAAAAAATAAAAACAACTATGAAATCAGATTTTTAATAAATTTTGATAAAAGTTGAAAAATAATAAATCTTATGAAATATATAATTAAAATTAATCGTTGACTTTAATTTGGGATTAAAATTATATTCTAATTTATACCAAACATGGGCTAAAATTGGCATCTGCATATGCTACTTAGTCTTTGTTTGTCTATCATTATTTCAAAACTCTTTTTTTTTCTCAAACTCATTTTCAACTTCGCATTCAGACAATAAAATATTTTGCATATAAATCGAAAACATTTTTCTATTTTTTAACCATACATTATTCATAAATTCACTATTCCAAATATATTTTCATTGAATAATGTTAGACAAATAGGGTGCTTAAAATCACTGAGACAATTCTTTTACTAATTAGTCTGTCCTTTAGGCTAATTTTTCGAGCTCTTATAACTTTCACAAATCGTAAGTTTAGCTCTCGAGGTTTAACAACTCTAGAAAACCTTCTCCTCATTCTTAAACCGACGACCCCGAAACAACTAGTCCGCACGCCCGCGCACAAACACTTATAGGTAGGATTCCAAATAATACTTACATATGATGATATCATTGGTATATTCTTGGATAAAATAGCCATTCGTATAGCTGTATATGACATTGTTGTGCTCGATGCGTGACACCTTGTAACGTTATATATGAATATATATAGTCTGAAACGGGAAATTTTGACACAAACTAATGGCCTATTACCCCAACTAACACAAGATTTTAACTGTTTATATGTTGTACCAGACATTCATTCTTGTTTGTTCGTAACATAGACATGAATCTGGATAGTTATGATCATCAGGAAAAACGATATCTATAGCATAGAGATTCAAACATGGAAATCCGGCGTCAATCTTGGGCCAGCTTTCTTATTGCATGTGAGGCCCATACCCAGTCTGCCTCTCCTTTTACTTTTATATATAGCTTATGTCGACAGTTACTCACATTACAAATACTACCCTTCACTCTTCTCTCTTTAATCTCTATATAGCAACCCAGTATTTGTTCCCCAACTTCACAACCATTTCCTCTCTATTTTTCTTTTCTCTCTATATATACACAGAGATACACATATATGGCTCCACTAGGGGATAATGTTGTCGTAACGAAGATAAAACTCGAAAAAATGCTTAGCATGAAAGGTGGCAAAGGAGAAGCTAGCTATGTTAATAACTCTCAGGCTCAGGTTAAATTCTTACATCATATTATGTGTTTACAGGTTCTTCATTTTATTTTTTTTAATTTGTTTTTTTTTTTTTTTTTTTTTTTTTTTTTTTTTTTTTTTTTTTTTTTTTTTTTTTTTTTTGGGGGGGGGGGGGGGGGGGGGGGGGGTTGCAAAGGGGAAACTTTTGGCTTGTTGATGAAGAGTTTAATTTTTTTCCTGTTAAAATCAAGCATTTTAGTGGCATATTTAGTACTTTAGACTGGATACAGCTAGGCGCGAAAACTATAAATTTGTCACATGTCTCTATTCTTTGATAGCAGTGTAGAATCTTGAGACAGATTTGGACTCAAATTAATTAGTTTCCAAAATTTTCATCAACAGAATAATAGGAAAGAAAAATAATGGGAATTAAGAATTTACCAAATAATTTAGATAAATTAGGAATTGATCGAGAGAACAAAACACAGCACCACGAGTACAGAGAAAGTAAAGAGTGGGAAAAAAATGGTATGATTCTGATGTTTTTAATGAAAATCTGGAGAAAATGTTTAGCATATTGAAAGGTGGCTAAGGAGCATCCAGCTATGTCATTAATTCTCTGATAGCAGTGTAGATTCTTGAGACAGATTTGGAATTAAATTAATTATTTTCCAAATTTTTAATCAACAGAATAAAAGGAAAGAAAATAATGCGAATTAAGAATTTACCAAAATTAATTTAGAAAAATTGCTATAAATTAGACCCCTGTGAATTGATCGAGAGAACAAAACACAGCACCAGGAGTACAGAGAAAGTAAAGAGTGGGGAAAAAAATGGCTCCTACAGGGTATAATTCTGATGTTTCTAATAAAAATCTGGAGAAAATGTTTAGCATGAAAGGTGGCAAAGAAGAATCCAGCTATGTCAATAATTCTCAGGCTCAGGTTTCTTAGTCACCCCACATTTTGTGTTAATTTTCTGGTTCTTCATTTTTTTCATCATAATTTTGTACGTATCTGTGAACATTAGCTTCATATGTATATGTTATATGTGCAGGCTCAACATGCTCGATCGATGCTTCATCTTCTGAAAGAAACCCTAGATTTAGTACAGCTGAATTCCCCGGAAATTCCCTTTGTTGTTGCAGATTTAGGATGTTCATGTGGGAGCAACACTATATACATGATTGATGTAATTATCAAGCACATAACAAAGCGCTACGAGGCCACCGACTACGAGCAGCCGCCGGAATTTTCAGCCTTTTTTTCCGATCTTCCGTCTAATGACTTCAACACTCTCTTTCAACTTCTACCGCCATATGGCGGTGGTAGCATGGAGGAATGCTTAGCTTCCGACAGTCACCGCTCTTACTTTGCTGCCGGAGTACCTGGATCGTTTTACCGGCGTCTCTTTCCGGCGAAATCTGTTGATGTTTTCTATTCTGCATTTTCTTTGCACTGGCTCTCTCAGGTTCATATTATTCTTAATAAATCAATTAATTATATATGTTTTTTCTTTTATTTTCTTTTTGTTAATGATGTTTAATTCTTGGTATACTGTATAATTTGTTACCGAGGATGATTGCATTCAAGCACAGTTTAAATGTAAAAGTTCCCAACCTTTCGTTTTGCTTTTGAAGGTCAAAAGGTTAAGAACTTAATCATGGCCCTAGGTTTGATCAAAATCACTTTTATACTAGCTGGTGATTTTCGTGCTTCCAATTCATAAATTTGAAAAAGTTTTTAGCAAATCAAGCCCCGATTTGGTAGCAATTTTTCATCTGAAAATTTTGATTTTTTTGACCATTATTTCAATTCACTCACAGGTGGAATCTACTTTTCCTTCTAATGGTCAAAAAATCAGTTCTCATAATCATTATCGAATAAGCCCTGAGTAACTTAATTGTGCTCTAAGCTTAATTGGGATATTTTAGGTTCCGGATATAGTGTTGGATAAGAGATCGACGGCGTACAACAAAGGAAGAATTTTCATCCATGGAGCAAATGAAAGCACAGCCACTGCTTACAAGAAACAATTCCAGGGTGATTTAGCAGGGTTCTTAAGATCAAGATCGAAAGAAATGAAAAGAGGAGGGTCCATGTTCTTAGTTTGCCTGGGAAGGACTTCTTTGGACCCTACCGACCAAGGTGGGGCCGGCCTTCTCTTTGGGACCCATTTTCAAGATGCTTGGGATGATCTTGTTCAAGAGGTAATCATATCATCTTCCCATTTGAATTCGATTTTCACCATCGTTCTTACTTCTTACTAGTAAGAAACAACGATTGAGATAATTATATTTCTTGCTCGAACCAACATTGAATGATATAATCGAAAACTTCGGATTCTTTCTCTACTCATAGTAGCACGTTACATATTACATTGGGTTTGGAAAGTAAGGCATGATAGCAAATTATCAAACATTGTCACTGCCCATGATTAAATCTTGTCGTATTGGCCATTTTGAATGGAACGTCCAGTTTGCCGCTGGACATCTATTACTACCTAGCATCATAACCAACATCAAGTGGGGGACAAATATTTAGTCAATCGTAAAGCACGATTCTTTGGTACATTACATTCATGCATATATTATTTATATATGTTACAATATTGATACTTATAGAACACTTTATAAATTGGATAAACGAACCACAGGGACTGATTACTAGTGAGAAAAGGGACAACTTCAATATTCCGGTGTATGCACCAAGCCTACATGACTTCAAGGAGGTTGTCGAGGCCGATGGTTCATTTATCATTAACAAGCTTGACGTTTTCAGAGGAGGAAGCCCTCTTGTGGTTAACCAACCTGATGATGCGGCTGAGATAGGTCGTGCGTTAGCCAATAGCTGCAGGAGCGTTAGTGGGGTCCTAGTTGATGCACACATAGGCGATCAACTGAGCGAGGAGCTGTTCGATCGAGTCGCGCACCGAGCCTCAAGCCAAGCTAAAGAGCTACTGGAACAGCTTCAATTCTTCCATATAGTTGCATCTCTGTCTCTAGCTTAGTGCGAGAAAATCTTTAAAAAAAAACAAAAAATGTCTTGATAAAAGAAGAGTACAATGTCTGTCTACTCTTTTTGGTGTTTGTGTGTTTATTGCTGACTGATAGTCACCTTTCATCCTAGACTGTTCGGTGTAATTTTGGTGTTCCCTTAATCCAAGCCAAGTAAATAAAGTAGGTGAAACTTTGTCAATCTTGTTTCCCTTTCTTTGTAGCCGTAGATTATTGTCGTCTTTGCCCAACTTATTCCGGAGTAACAAATTAATCTTTAACTTCACATTATGAAAATCTCCATTAAATTTCCACATGCCTTTAACTTGTCTAAACTTTGTGAAACTACTTTTGTATTGTTGCCGAAGAGATGTATACTTTCATACCATTTTTTAACAAAGATTTGAACACATCTTTGATGATGCATTATGCTATTTAGGGGTGGGCGCGGGTCGGTTCGATTCGATTCGATTCCAAAGAGAATCGAATCGAATCGAACCGAACCAAAATTTTCGGATATTTAGTAAATGGAACCGTCGAGTCCAAATATAATTATGGAACCGTTCGGGTTCGGTTCTGTTCAATTCTGTACTATAATTAAATTTTTAAACATTTA